GGCTCCCGTTTAGGTTGGTGCCACTCCTACTGACATTTGGGAAAAACATCCTGGGACCCAAGCAGGAGGGCCCCACAACTTTGCCCTCTTCTCCAATAGTGGAAAAACACAATCAAACATTCTGAAGGAAAACCCTCTGTCTGCCACCCCAGCGACTGGAGTTAGTAAAGACTCCTGAGCTCCACTAATAAAGTCTGGGGGGTAATATGCATTGGGGAGCCCTGAGGAACAAGTTCCCTAGATTTTTAAAAGCAAACTGACCCCGATTTATTCAACCTGAAGATTGACAGGGACGGGCAGGATCCCCTTTAGCTTTACTCATGATAGTCCACGAGTGACAATCCATAATAATAAGGTAATACCATCAGGTTGGTTCCTAGATGGTCTTATGGAACACCCCATTTATGACAGAGCCTGTTGCAATATGTAGTAATTATAGTGAAAGTGGTTGCTAGTGCGGAATTGAAAATAGAAAAATCATACCTGCCTGAACAGAGTGGGATCCAGTGCAAAATAAAGGGACCCTGGATATAAAAGAGTATATGATTGAGGAAAATACTCACCTCTGATTAAAATCTAACAGATGTGGTCAAAATAGCTACAGAAGAGGAAACTGACAGATCATGTAAGTAATGAGATAGGAAAGTATTAGGAGTAGTCCACATATCAGCCTGCACAATGTCTTCCACAGGGCAATTTAACTAGACGGCTAATAACATAGAAACATGACAAATTTGGTGAGATATGACATGAAAAAGATTCTTCTCCTGTAACGATAACCCATTATAGACCATGTGAATCAACTTATGAAATCACCTTGTTAGAGTAATGGGAGATAAATCACGGGAAATAGAAGGATTCCAATGAATGAACAATCAATTCCTACTTTCTCAAAATAAGTTAGTATAAGCTACATAACACTTGTGGGCCCTAACAGGACATAACAAATGATCAGGTTCGGAGCAGTCATAAAGGTGAGAAATGGTTGACAAATGGATTGGTGAGGAGAATCTTTCCCCTTCCCTGGTTGCCAGAGCCTTAGGAAGAAAAGACCCATTGGGGTAAAGTAGAACAAATGTGGAATGATTAAGATTGCAAACAACTCTGACCAACGACTTCCACAAGCCAACAAAAACAAAAAATACAATTTAAGAGAAAGGTGAAACAAAGAACACGAAGCTAAGAGCTCAATGGGAGGACGAGACAATGCATGTAAAATAACTGTAAAATCCCAATTTGGTAACTAAAAAGGTCGTTTGGGTTGAAGAATGTGAAAGGATATGTGTAGACCTGATAGTACTGAGGATTCAAAAACCTTCCAATATTTCGAATACCAAAAAATAGTGGATAAGGATACCTTATATAAAGCCACTGTAGATGAAGCAAGACCCCTCTCAAATACCCAAGTCATAAAACAGGATATGGTAGATACTTTAGGATGAAGAGGGTCTACATTTCTTTTAATACACCACTTACAATAAGTATTCTGTTTCCATTGATAAATGGCTGTAGTTGGCCTATGGAGAGATTTAGCAAAATATAGAGAAACCTTAGAAGATAAACCCTTATGTCAAGCAGGGGACCAAATAACTTCCAAGCATGAAGACTGAGTTTCCGAACATCTGGTCAGAGAATGTCTGATCAAGGTTGTCTCAACAGAGACTGCGAATATGGAAGAGGCAGAGGTGGACATTCCTGCAGATAACAAAGAAGTGGAAAGCACATTTGAGCAAATATGGGGCAACCAAGAGAATTCAACAGGGAGTGGAACAAATCATAGTCAGAACCAGGGGCAATAGCCAAGTTGGGGGAAAGGCATAGAAATGTAAACCTGTCCAGTTCTGATTGAACGATTCTACTGCCAACACTTGAGGATGAGCTATCGGAGACCAAAACAACTGCAGTTGAGAATTCCAATGAGTTGAAAAGGCATCGATCATTGGAGACCCAAACTGAGAGCAAATCATGAGACAAGTAAACTGCAATTAAATTCATCACTCCTGGAACATGACATGCTAAAATACTGATACGATGGGAATGGGCCCAGTAGAGGGGATCCAAGGTACAAAAACAAAGATCTTGAGAATGTGTGCCTCCTTGACAAAAAATCGGAGATACCACCATGGAATTGTTGGAATGTATCATGACAATTTTTATTTTCAAGAGAGACAGAACTTGAACCATTGCCCGGTGTACTGCAAGGAGTTAGAGAACATTGATGTGGAGGGTAGACTTGTCAAGGGATGCCCATGTCTCCAAAAGAGAGAGAATCATCCTCGCAACAGGAGAAGGAGATATAAGTAAAAGCCTCACAGCTCTTTCCATGGCTTGAAGCCTGATAGGGGTTGGTTGGGCACAACTTAAGTGAGTATTAAAAAATACACCCAGATAGGTGAAATATTGCATTGGTGACAAAATAATTTTTCCAGTCTGATAAGGAAGCCTGCTTTTGCAGCTTCTGAAAGAAGAATCTGATTGATGAAATGGTGCCAGAAGGAGTCAGTTGTCCATATAATGATGTGTGCACAAGCCCAAGGAATGCATATCACACGAAAAAGCTTGAACAACTCTGCAGAAGACATATGGTGCTGATGTAAGACCAAAAGGTAGAGCCCTGAACTGCAGCACCTGATCCTTGTGCACAAGTCTAAGAAACTTCTGGGAAGATTTCACTCTGGGAATATGGAGATAAGTGTTGGTAACATCGAACTTGGTCATCCAGAGCCCTGATAAAAAATGCCATCAGGAGGATCTAAAAATTGGACGCAAATGTCCTGTCTTCATGGGTACAAAAAATAAACAGGAATAAAATCCCAGAAAAATGGGATTGACTCTCTATACTACACACCTCTGACTAACAACTCTCTTTTGGCCTGGGAACGAAGTTCAACTCGCCATGGATCTGTTGGAGGTGATGTAAACTGAATACGACCAACCCTGAAGCCAGAACATGGAGTACCCATGGATACCTTGTGAATGAACTCCAGATGTACGGAAAATGATGTAATCATGCTCCCACTGCTCCCCCACCCATGGGATAGTCACTGACGCCGTTGTCAACGGTCTGCCCAAGCCGAAGATCCTCTAGAATATGGACGGACTCTATTATGGGAACCAAAGGAGGGGCTCATAAAACAACCCAACACTCCCAAATTAGTGCCAGATGATAAAGAAAAATGTAAACTCCAGCAAACAACATGGGATGGACCAAAGGAGCTTCCAGTGACTCACTGTGAGCAGAAGACAGTAAACAAACACTTTCTAACAAAGTGTCTCAACCCAATAAATCCCAACAATAAACCATCCAGGAAATAAGAGAATGAACTGAAGAAAATAATTTGACTGAGGAAAAAAAATCACCAACTGATCCTCAAGTTGCTGAGGGAAATGTTGATAGGCTTCCGACAAAAGTTGGATTGAAGGTAAATACCTCAGGATAGTTGTGAGAGTAAGACAAATCCAAGCAAACTGTTATCTGTGGTGGTGATAAGCCAAAGCATGCTATTCTGAAAAATGTGGGTGACAAGGCATAGCTATCCCATCATGTAACTGAATGGCAAGTCTCCCAGCACAAACAGCAATATCAGGAGAAGGAGGAAAACCAAGTAGTCATTTTTGTCCTTTCTGCCAATAAGAAAGGAATAGTGTCAAAGGCAATAGGAGAGACCCCAAAAACCTCACAAACAAACTGAAGAAAAGGGGCTAAAGATGGTTGATCAAGATAATCCTCTGTTGAGACCAACCTAGTAAAAGAAGGAGCCAGAAAAAGCGAGTCTAAATTCTCCCCAGCTGGTCCTGGGTCCTTTGCAAAGCCACCTCAGAACCTCCCAGAGAGACACCCTAGGTCCACATATATGTCTCCATCTCGTAACAGATAATATCACGAACAACTTCGACTGTGAGTGACCCCTTCCCTGGCCATTGACAAACACTCCATAGAAGAGGTGGAAGAGAAGAAGTCTGGTTGGCCTCCATACTAGAAACATTAACTTGGGAATTCATACCTGTGGGTACGTTTTTTATTTGGTTTTTGTTCATTAAAGTAATTTATAAATATAAACAAAGATATAACCGTAGTAATGCCAACCATGTTCAAAATCGAGATGTAATTGTGAATAATCACAACACTCCTGTGTATAAAAACCCATGCCGAATGCTTTATCGAGAAAAAGTGATTATGTTATTTGAATGAGGTGCTTATATACAGTACCTAGATAGAGGGCGCATTGAAGTTGGCAGAGAATTTTGTAAATCAAGTGCGGTTTAATGACTGGAGCAAGCATTTTCACTGCTTAGCTGGGCAAAGAGTGGAAACCCTGGAGCTTGAGAAATAGCTATAGTGTCAGCAGAGGTAAGTATGTTTTGAAATATCAACTTCAAATTTATGTCAGAAAACTGACATCTGCCTAAATGCTCATGCTCAGAATTATAAAAATACAGCATTAGCGAAGGGTTAAGCAAGGTAATTAACAGTCTCACAGATGAAAAACAACACATTCTTGTGAAGCTATTAAAGATATAGTATATGAGATAGTGCATCATATACATAGTTAAGAAATCCTACATAAAATATGTTCAAAACCAACATTCTACAATTCCATAAAATATTCTACTTTATCTTCTTAAGGAGATTTACATTATTTCTCCCAGTTTGTACAGAAAAGCATCTTTCCCAACAATTTTTATGTTTATCATGCAATTAAAACTTTTTTTAGATACCAATAAATAGTACACTTTTCTTGCTTCTACATATTCTGTTTTAGGTCATCAGTGTTCTGGTGATATATTATCAGTTCTGCTTTCTGAAAGATTATATAATTTCCAGTTATTCTATTTACCATAAAACTACTCACATTTCTTAGCTTTGATGCTCATTATGTAGAAGTTAAAATAAACTTACTTTCCATGAGATACTGTAGTGTTAATTTTCCCACTATATATTCTTTAATGAATAATCCATTCAAAATTGTGCAACAAAATATAATATTTTTTGGTATTACCTTCATTTTCCAATGACTTTTTCTGTTGAATCAGTATATTTCTTTCTATCTTTGAATCTCTTAACTGCTGGTCTCTCTGCTCAAGTTCTTCATGCATGTTTCGTTTTGTCTCTGCCATAGCCATAGATGATTCTTCCTGCTGTTTTTTTAGTTTTTCTACCATTTCAGACATTTCTTGCAATTCCTCTCTGAGTCCTGCTTGGATCTCTGCTTCTTTTTCCTATTCACAAAGAACTTTAATAAGTTAAATAAATGGTTTATTTCTACAAATGTTCTATTGAATTTCATAATTTTTAATGTCTTGAGATTTCACACCTCCCTTAATGCTTTATTATTATTATTATTATCATGAGACATTATGTCTACAAAACGTGCAAGTACAATGGATTTTACACATGTGTTGTCACAGTCAAATAACAGAGAAAGTTGTATTTAATGGATGCCTGGAATTACACACATGCTAAATATCATAAATATAATTAGTTAACTTTTTACAACACTAGTTACTAGCAGAAACCTGCTTAATTATTATTATTTCTTATCTACAGCTAAATCAGCAAAATTTCTAAGAAAGTTATAAATGTCTTAACAGTAGGTGTATATTACCTGTAGGATGTAGTAAGTAAAGAGTCCTACTGAACTGAACAGTACAAAAGTATATGACAAATAACAGGACTATAGATACAACATGATATGATCTGGAATTACAGGACATGGGTAAAACTGATATGCAGGGAACAAATTATGCAGTCAACATTCCAGTCAACACTTCCGCAAAGGGTATGTGTACTTTATACAACCTTTTAGTAACCATGAAAGTATACACACTATAACTCTGAAAGTACTTAATATAGCTTAACAAAATTTGGCAAGCTTTTAGTAAACATTAAAAATCTTTTGAATACAAAAAATCACAATTTTTGATTAAGTACTTTTACTAAAAATTTGTCCATACATATAGAGTCAAAGTGTTAACTACTCCAAATGTAAAGTGATTTCCATGCTAATATTAAAAATACTTCTCTTGATCTGAAAATTGTCAAATTTCATTTGCATAATTTCTAAAACCTCCTAAATAGACTTTAAACAATTTTTTTAGTAAGACTTTAATTTTTTTTCTGTTATTTTATGTACCCTAACTTTATACAAGTTTGGTCAATTTGACTGACCTTCTAACCACCATAAAAAATATGAAATAATTCTAAATTACACTTTTTTCTTTCTAGAATAACTTCAACTTGTAGCATGAAACAAGATTTTGTCATGATATAAAAGACTGTTTCATTCAGATAGTATTCATTAATTTAATTTTGTTAGTGAATGTTTTATTATTGTTATAAATAAGAGTTAAAAGCAAATGCTTGTTGGAAGTTTTGTTAATAATTCTTTGATGTTGAGAATATCAAACGTAATGTGTAATATATTGACGTCGATAATATAGTAGGTGGACAGACTATTAGATAATAAAGATATAAATGGCATGAGATGAGTAGGAAACAGCAGATAGACAGAAGCAGGCAGATAATAGCAAAATAGAATAAAGTTGGTGTGAAGTTAACTACTGTAGAAGTGATAGTACTAACATTTAATATGTTAGAGTGAAACTAGCAGTACAAAAGAAGACAAAAAAATTATTTCATTCCATCAAAGCATGGTTCTAAAGTAATTGAATCAGCCTGAGTGCACTTTGACAAAAGGAACATAGGATCTTCAAAAGAAAGAAGACCAAACGATTATGGTAACTCGTGCCACAATTCTAAGTGAATCACAGAGAATACTAATGTCATAGAAATAGAGAAGATAGTTTGGCTTGTCAACTGAAATTCTAGAGTAATTGAATAGGCCTAAGTGGATATTTGACAAGAAGGAGAGAACTACATATATAGTATTTATGATATGTCCATAATATCTAGTGTTGAAGAATGTAATGTACATACATTACCTTGTTCTGAATATATATATTATTTTGAAAACAAGTAAAGTGGTTGCTGTTTATTCATTGTTGAATTTATCGCTAACAAGTCACAGACATCTAATATAGAATCCTAAACCCAACAACAACATAGTATATATTTATACTCTCAAGAAATATAACTAAAATCCTTTCTATTTGACAATTGGTAAAAAGGAAAGTTATATATATATACATATTTTATTTTAAATTCTGACACATTTTTTATCCTAAATAGCTTATATCTCATATCATTACATATTTGTTTCTACTTAAATTTCATTTTTTTATCGCCCTTTGAACCATGTCTAGCTAATAATCCCACTACCCAAGTTGTAAATCATTTGGCAAACATGTAGCTCATGTTACCCTATCGAATTATTTAAGGCACAGGCTACTCTCAAGTGTGCCTCATGAAATATTTATTTTATTATTAGTTTTTCTTTATTTTACCTAATTTAACCTAATATAATGTAATGTTTCAAGTAAGATTCCATCAAGGTTTGATAACAGGTTTTCAGTGTTACTAAAAAAAACAGTTGATCAAGTTCCCCTATAAAGTGATCATAAAATTTGTGTCATCCAAAAGTGAATAAAATCCATACCTCCACAAAGCATGAATATTAAAAGGACACATACCTGAACATGTTGCAGTTCGTTCGTTTTTTCTTCAACCTGATTAAATAGCACATCTGTTTCTTTTTGCAGTTGTATGATCCTTTCCTTGTTGCTTTTGATGGTATCTTTACACTTCATCAACAATACCTCCAATCTTTTATTCTTTACCAATAAAAGATCATATAAAAAAGCATACATATATATATATATATATATATATATACACACACACACACACATATATATATATATATATTTTAGGCTACTAATACCAGAAGTATCTTTTGAAAAAATTAACTACTTTTTGTTTATATTGCTACCATACAAATTCTTAAAATTTGCATAAGTATAAATTCTATTTTTTACATTGCAATACCTTAATATGTAATTTCCAAAATTATTTTCTAATTATAAAGTTCCCTCTGGTGGTTTAGCCATAAGCTTCAGGACTTATAATGTTAAAGAGTGGGGTTAGGTACCTGTGGTGGGCACAGTGCAGATAGCCTAATATGTAGCTTTGCTCTTTAAAACAATGAAACAACAAAATAACAGTTATGAAATCCTAAATATTGTAATGGAGAAAGTAATCATATCACTTTTCTTCTTAACCCTAAAAGCACACAAGCGGATGTGATTATCATTCACTCAGCTAAGGAAAGACATTTATGTAACAAAAATACGGTGACTCTGTATGTTCCTCACAGAATCTTGTACGTATTTTGTATATAAAGAATGATATTGCTTTAATTACATCTTTATGATAAAAATGTTATTCATCTATAGTAGTTATCTGCACTCAAACTGCTAAAATTGTTTGAGTGCAAAGTGATTTTCATTTCAAGTTTAAAATGCTATTCTTCATCTTATAGTTTGCATAATCTCTAGAACCTCCTAAAAGAATACCATAAGTTTTTAAGGTAAAAGTTTATATTTCATTTTTCAGTTTCTCTACCATATCACTATCTCTAGCTATTATCATCAATGTACAAAGAATGAATTGATTAAAATTAGAATATATGAAAAAAAGTACATACCTTTTAATTTTTGTAGAATATATACACCTGGAAAAAAGTTAAGCACCCCCGTGTTTTTCAAGTGATTCAGATTCGATGTTCTTGTGACTGATTATAAATT